GATCATATTGGCGAAAAATGTTAAAACCGTCTGTGAAGAAAAAAATTGAAAATTAAAAAAAAAAAAAATAAAAATTATTATTCTAGATTTGTCATTAATTAATTTGTGAAATTTTGTAGGCAAAGTAGTACTCGGGAACCAGTACCTGCCCACCTCTGTGTATTTATATCTGTATTCACAAATGCAGATATACAATTACATGGAGTGAGCAGGTGGTAGTTCCTGCGCAGCTACTAGATACTTTATTTACCTTACTTCAGAAAAATATTCTTACCATCATTTTATTATGCTGCCTCTTCATCATTGACATCAATCAAATATTCATAATCTAAAAAACAATAATAGTTAGTGCTCAGATATTTTTTGTAGTTTAATTTGTTTTAAAGTACATTTAAATATTTTTCATGATAATTAAATTAATAAATTTATTCATTTATTAGCAAATATATAGGTATATTGAGATATAAACTTTGCATAGGTTGAATATTTTCAAATTATTTTTTTAAATTAGGAAATACCTTCAAATTCGGCGTCATTTGCCATCTCGTTAGGAGAAAGTAGCTCACAATCAACAAACGTGAAGTCATTGCGGTACAGTAGCATCTCAACGTGTTCACTGACTAAAATAGTCGCCAGCTGAAATAGTCGGGAAAGAGTAATCTTCCGTGTTGCGAACATCTTCCAAGCACGCTCCATTTTATCCCGCTTAATTACAGGCCGCACTCGCGGTGTTACATTTATTCTTTGCTGCCGTTGTATTTTTTCGAAGTCTTTTGTCGATTGATTGGAGATTTTAAGGATTTGCTCTGTGAAATTATAAATTGATAAGGAAATAAATAACATGATAATTTGGAATTTTCTAAGGACCAAATTAAAGGAATAACATAATTAAATATTTTCACTGCAAAACTTATTGCTTAAAAGCATTAATTTTTTTTCATGTCAAGTTTCTCATAACTATCTCGATTGTAATTTAATTGTTATTTTAAAAAATATGAAATTGGACCTTTGACGTGGCTTATGGAAAAGAGCACAATTAGAGATACTTACGGGTAAATGCCCAGATATTACCATCAATACTTAGAGATTGGCACAATGAAACTTGACCAGTTACTCCACAGTCTGTCATCACCTCCAACTTCTCGTAAAAACTAAATAATCTCGGAGTTACACCATTAATCCAAGAATTTTCAAAATAATCGAAAAATTCCCTCAAAGTAGCTTGAACTGCTGGTGATGCTGAATTTTTTATTTCAAAAAACATAGCCGGAATATCTTCTGCCGGCAAACAGCTCAAGGCAACTAATTTTTTGAAGATAATTTTTACGTCGATATTGAATGGCAAAAGTCCCCGCATTTCAGCTTCCATTAATAAAGCCTTGAAGGAAAAAAAATGGATTTATCAGAGTGATTTTTTTATATACTATTCATACTATCGTATAATAATAATAATAATAATTATTATTATTATTATTATTATTTTTTTATTTTTATTATTAAGTATAGAAAAACTCACCCAACAGTAAGAATGATAGGTCGTTTGGACAGTTGTCTCCGGAAAAGAAGCTGTGAGGCTTCCATGCAGACGACGTTCGAAATCAGTGCAAATCTTTATCGGATTATTTATTCCGAAGAAAGTCGAAATTTTATCCACAATGAAGTCATAGGTCCTACGCAAGCGGTTTGGGATTAATACCC